ATAATCCTGTGAATTTTTTCCCCTACCTATGAAAGTTTGTAAGCCAATCACTTCATGCCTTTATCTCCCCAAATTTTGGGTATCCAATTTACCCCCCAACCATAAAGTTATTTTCATTGCTATTTCTCATAACTATCATTTTGTTACTGTTGTGAATCATAATGTAAATACCTGATAGGCAGGATGTATTTTCATTGTTGCAAATTGAACATCATGAAAGCGTAGTGGTTCATCACAAAAACATCATATAATTATATTTTGTGAAATATTTATTTCTAATGACAAATCAATGACATTTTGTCTTGGTGTCGCATGGGTAACAGTCTTACTATAACAACAGTAAATGACATTGCTACATTTTGCAACAGTCTGTGTAAAAAGGTTGAGATAGATTCTTTCTCACCAGATCAGCGTATCCTCAGGTGGGCGGACCCGCCTGGAGACGATAGAGGAGCCATGTCTTGGTTCCTAAGACAATCAGAAACATATATTTTCTGATGGTCTTAGGCGACTCCTGTGAAAGCGTAGTTTGAACCCAAAGGGTCGTGACCCACAGGTTGAGAACCCCTGTCTAGAGGCTGGACTACAACTGAGTGCACACCCAAACTCCAGCTAGCTTCCCAAGGCTGTCGTCTGGCTGGAAGCAGGCCCCTTGATCATTCTCCCAAGATGTCCTGGGAGGACATCTCCCAGAACCACTGACTTTGTATTAACAACCAACCTCTCGATCCACCGTGTCACCAGGACCACTGGTACTCAGAAACAAAACTCACTGCCATCAAATCAAGGCCGACTGATAGCAGCCCTATCAGACAGGGTAGAACTCCCCTGGGGAGTTTCCAAGACTGTAACTCTTTAGGGGGGAGTAAAAAGTCTTCCCCCCCACCCCCCACAGAGCAGCTTGAGCTGATTTTGAACTACTGATCTCGGGGATCACCGCCAGATGTGTAACCACGACACTCCCCGTCTGGGATAGTACGTGCCAAACCTGCTTCCTGCCGGTCCGTCCCGACTCCTAGACCGAGTGGGACTGCTTCGTGAAGTTTCCATGACTGCCACCTCGTTGGAAGCAGCTT